TCACTTATACGTTTAGAAAGTTTTCCCCGAGTGGCATTTATTTCCTTAGGTAGAGAGCTCTATTTTCGATAGTGAATTATACAAATAAGCAATGATAGAATACAATCATTATACTTACAAAAGATGAGAGAAAATATTCTTGAGAAACGCAGAAATTTAGCTTTTGAGATAAATACTACATCAAAAGAATTTAAGAGAAATAAAAAAGAAAAATTAATAAACTGTATTATGAAGAAGAGTCAGTTACTAAAAGAATTAATTTTCAAAAATAGTTTTTCACTGTAGAAGTAAAAGAAGTGATAGACATTTTAATCTCACAAACAAAAGGGAGATCTGAAAAATTATACGAGATGTTTTCAATTTCCATTTTATAACCGATGAAAAACTAATGTAATTAGACGTAGGTAATTTAAAAGAAGCAACACTTAAATATCTAAATCATATAAAAATACTAATATATAATTTTTTATTCTTTTGTATCATTTTAATATCTAAATCATACACTTAAAAATCTAAATCATTAAAATATTTCATCAGAATGTCTACTTTTAATAACCAGAAAATCTTAATAAACGAGAAAAGGCCCAAAATCGCTAAACCATTCGACAAAACATGGCAACCATTCGACGAAATTTTGGTCTAGTTCATCTGTAACTGTAATTGGTCTAATTCCCATGTAACTATAAATATATCCGATCCTCTATATAATTCTAACTGTATATGTCATCCGCCAATTTCAAGAAATCGAAGATCCTAGATATTTTTCGTCAGCCGGGAGGGGGGAACTAGTATATAAGAATAGGAAGAGCATCAATTCTCAGTTTCTAGTGACTTTGGAGTGTTGACGAGAGATTTCATAAAAGCTTCGATCTTAACGATCGCTTTGCACTGCGTTGTGTTCAACATTCTTAGTAATTTGATGTGGTACCTAGTAGTTATTTCTAGTTCCAGCGCTGCTTCAAGTATGAATCTTTCAGAAGTAATAAAGTCTTAAATACACTTTAGCTTAGTTTATCGGGATCTGGAAGTTGCACTGAAGTTTAAATTAGCACTGCCACGTTACTCTTACTAGTGGTACTTACTTTTCTCTATAAAATATAAATTAAGTAATCAAATAATTTTGAAAAACAAATGATTGATGATTTTGTTTCTTTAAAGGTAAGAAAAATTTAAATTATAAAAAATAAAAATCAGTGCACCTTTTTTTTTCATTATTTACATTACTGTTTATACAATTTCAGTTTTATTTGCCATCAAAAAATTGTTTTTTAGTAAAAAACTTTTCAGTAAAAAACTTTTCAGTAAAAAACTCTAAATCATTACTTGTATGATTTTTCTGAATAAAGTTACGCTTTAAAATATTTTTATGAATTTTGTGTATATGTAAATAATTTTAGTCAATTTATGCACAAAATAGTGGCATCTCTTGCATAATATAACATGAATTATCTCAAGAGATTGAAGCTTCGCTTGAAAAATGAGTTTGCAGGGGCAAGTCCATTTAACATTGAGGCTATATCGCCTGGCTAATGCCAAGCTAATGACCAAATTTGACGAAAAAAGGCCCAAAATCGCTAAACCATTCGACAAAACATGGCAACCATTCGACGAAATTTTGGTCTAGTTCATCTGTAACTGTAATTGGTCTAATTCCCATGTAACTATAAATATATTCGATCCTCTATATAATTCTAACTGTATATGTCGTCCGCCAATTTCAAGAAATCGAAGATCCTAGATATTTTTCGTCAGCCGGGAGGGAGGAACTAGTATATAAGAATAGGAAGAGCATCAATTCTCAGTTTCTAGTGACTTTGGAGTGTTGGAGAGATTTCCTAAAAGCTTCGATCTTAACGATCGCTTTGCACTGCGTTGTGTTCAACATTCTTAGTAATTTGATGTGGTACCTAGTAGTGATTGGGCTTGTCATACTTAGAAGAGCTGTACGAGTACTTCTGTGAAAAGTTCCAGAACTGTAAGGTGTTTCTTTTGGGAAAATAAATTTTATCAACCTGCCATCTGCTCTTTGTGCCTTCAGTCCATTACAAACCTACACGCAACAACATTTTAAAAATTAAAATACTATCATTTAAAATAATTACCTTTGATGAATGCGACAGTTTATATAGTTAATTCGATTCTATATAGGGGCGCTTATTTACGTCTTTGTCTCAGGTGAAGAAATATCTAAACACGGCCCTGACCGAAGGGATCTCAGCCTCTACCTAAAAATGTCGAAGCAATATTGAAGTGCTAAATTACCAGAAGCTAACCATGACTTGCGAACTTTCATAGGGATGCCTAATTTTTACTGACCGTTCCTGACAGATGCTCGTAAGCTACAAGCAGTACTTCATGAATCTAAACTAACTAAAGGGTGCTAAGAAAAAAGAAGAAAACAAATTAAATGGTCTGATGAAACTATAATGTGAGACTGACGCGCTGCCTACTGCGCTACCGAGGCTACAAACTATAATGTATTTTCTCACGTCTTTCAGCATGCCTTCGTGGTATAGTTGGAAACACCTTCGATGTTTATTCGAGAGGTCTAGGTTCGAATCCCGGCGAGGGCGTTGCACATTTTTCACCTTTCCTGCTTCAAAATAACCTTAATTCCACAAAACTGTAAACATTGTAAAAATGTAATCAGGATTAGGCAAAAAAGTAACTTAAGTTATCACAATTCAGATTTGCCTTTGTCATTGCATTAGTAACATATTAGTAACATATTTTGCAATTAAAAATTTTAAACATACGTTAGAAGGTCGCTATTTCAAAATTTTTACTTATCATAAACCACTATTATTTACTTTCAGACAAAAACAGCGAGAAAGGATCACCAAGACAAATGCGACAACTTCAATATATATTTCAAGTTCCTAGTTCCGCTTTTGCTGCAATTATTTTGTTACATCGCACACTTGTTCCGGCTTTCATGAATTTGTTACTTGTAAAGGCGCTTGAAGTAAAGTAATACAAGCTGGGTCCGTGTAAATTAGCAAGTGCAAACAATATACTATATCTCAATTTTCTACTATTATATGGCATTAGCGGAATCGAAAACAATGTTACATAACAGTTATCAAGAACAATCGATCTTTTTATTTCCCTCATTGATTATGATAAAATCGCAGATAAAATAAATAGTTATAAAATTTACAAGTTCAAAGCAAAACATTAAATTCTAAAAGTTATTTATTTCCATCCGGTAAAAATTTGTGAAGGGAACGTCTTCTTCTAACATCAGACAGTTTATACCTTGTAGAGACATTAGGTTTATTTCGTAGGAAGAGAGGTGAGAAATGAGCAATGCCCTCGCCGGGAGTCGAACCACGGACCTCTCGAATACGGGCCGAGTGTGCTGACCACTACAACATGAAGGCATGCTAAGAAGATGGGAGCAATACCTTATAACCTAAACAGTTTAGAATGTATATTTCAGCAAATACATGGGCTCGTTCGTCCAGGAATAAAATCGACTGTTATAGAAATAAAATCCATATTTATCTGACCAAATATCAAAAAGGATATATAAATATGAAGTCGTGCTTTTATTGATTGGTAGAAAAATTAAGTTTCACGACATACAAACTCTGAATTAGGAACTTATCAACATCCTAATAAACGTTTTACCATAGTTTACATTGATGTAATAGGTCCCTATTCACCATCAGACACTTTTATATGTTGCTTAATTTTCACTGACAGCTGTATGTGTTGGAAGCAAGCCATTCATTTAGGTGACATAACAGCAGAAACTGTTGCAAAAGTTTTTATGACAAATGGATCACTTATTCTGGAATTCCTTACCAGATTATTAGGAATCGTAGAGCTCAACGTACTTCTGAATCATTTCGAACCTTGGCAATTTTATGGGAGTCAAAATTAACACACAGCTTCTTATCATCCATACTGCAGCTTCAAAATTGAGAGATGTCATCCAAATTCGAAAGCTTCTATCAGATGTCATACTTCAGTTATGTGGTTTGAACTCATTCTAACAATCCTTTTAGGTTTTAGAGCAGCGTTGAAAGGAGGCTCTGGACCATGCACAAATGGTTTACGGGAAAACAAGTAAACTTCCTGGAAAAATTTCGATAAGTCTACCGTTTACACAACACCTCAAACAATTTTACATAAATTGCTAAGACAAATGGTATTGTTCAAGCTTTCTGCGGTACAGCGATAAATGATTCCTAAAGTTTTTTGTCCGTAAAGATCCGAATGTCTATAATCATGTCTTCTTACGAACCGACACGGTCAAGATCCATGTCTAAACAAATCCAAACTCGACAACCAATAGAACGCTCATTACGCTTTAGAACAATGTAGAATATGTTTACGCTTTAGAATTACGCTTTAGAACAATGTAGAATATGTTTTTCTAAACACTACTGGGGAATACGTTTAATTTCAGTTGCATATATTTATTTATTTGATTTAATACTTTTTTAAAACTCTAATGTTAGTTAGCTTACAGTATATTGTTCCTCTATCAAAACCTCTTAAATCATAATATGTGTAGTTTCTGGTGGGGGAGTGATGTATTAGCAATATAATATTTTTAGGTGATTGTTAAGATTTTCTAAGTAGCAAGATCAATTCGAAGTTGTTATCAGTTAGTGTTCAATTATTATGGTTTCGTAAGCCTTATTTTTTAAAATACTTATGTTATATTTTTATTTAAAAAATGCGTAATATGTATCAAATATGTATGAAAGATATATAAATATGAATATACTGTTTTAAAGATTACGAAGAAGTATTTCTTCTTATAAAACTTCGGGTGTTTTGTTTCGATTCTTAATATTCTTTTAACGCCAATCTATGTTTTTATCTTTTCTTCCAGGTATTCATTATCATTTCAGGTAGCATCATTTCAATTATTACGTTACAGTGAGCATCGGTATTTTACTTTCAGTTTAATGCAGAAACTGCGGACTGTAAAGCTCGTTTTATTAAAGTTATCACTATCCGATTTAAGCGATTATATTACGAGTTACCTTTCGTCCTAATTCACATGAATCAGAAAGTAACCAAAGTTCAAAGAGATCACGTGTAGCTGATTCAGCAAATAATTGTAGCTTGAATGTAGATGATTCATAAAAAGGCGAACTACAGAACTATGTCTAAAAGGAAGTGAACGGTGACAAAAATCATTTTATTTTGTTACCGAACGACCAGTGATTTGAACGTAAGTTTAAATACTCAGATTTTTGTTCGTATTGTTTCTGTCAAAACAGTCTGATATCCACAATTTGTGCTATAAAAAGTTTCAGAATTATACTGTTGTATTTCTGTAAATAAATATAGGGTTTTATTCAGTAGGGTATTTTAGATTAGAGCAATCAATGAAATAAGGCTGGAATAAAGTTAAATAATTATTATTTAATAGTTATTTTAGATTGTGTTGGTAAGAGGCTCGTTTTTGATTGATTATATATTTTTTATCAGTGCCTACTAAAATATTACCTAATCATTATTTCATTTTTCTTTTTAAAAACAAAAAATTATTTTTCTTCTTAAAGTATGCGCGAAGCGATCAACCGCACACTGTTAATGTCTGAGTCTGTTACTTCGTATAAATTTCCTAGTAACTATCTTTATTTAAATTAATAATTTTTGGAGTAAAAGTTTTATTAGTTAAAACCATATTGCTGTATGGTTTATATTCTTAATGATATTGAGTAATTATAGAGTACATGTTTTATTACTTTATAAGGTATTTTCCCCACCTTCTTAGCATGCCTTCGTGGCGTAATGGTCAGCACACTAGGCGCGTATCCGAGACATCCAGAGTTCGTGTCCTTGCAGGGGCACTGCTCCTTTTTCATGACTTCTTAAAAAAATCTTAATGTCTCTACATTAAGATTCAGTGGCGCCTGAACTAAAAAAGGTGGTGGGTGATGATTCTCCACCGCCAGAGTTTGGCGATTGCGTCCCCTAATCCCCCTTTAAAAGGGGGTAGTATATAAGGTATTTTTTCCGTCTTCATAGCATGTCTTCGTGGTGTAATGGTGAGTACACTCTGCCCGTATTCGAGAGGTACGGGGTTCGAATACGGAGTAGGAGTCCCGGCGGGAGCATTCCTCATTTTTCGTTTCTCAGCATCAAATTCCTAATGTCTTTACAGCTTTATTATCATATTTTAATGTTTCGAAGTAAAACTTAGGTTGAGAATGCAATCTTCTACCAATAAAATTGGATAACAGCGCGTACTCAGGATGACCAAGATTAGATTAAGACTAGATTTATTTTACCATCATATGAGCGCATACTGAGTGAAGGGGAAAAGTAATGTTTTTCACTCATTCATATATAGGTAGATACATAGATAAACGGAAGTATGGAGCAAATATAAAGCGGACAAATAGTAAACAGGTATCTTTTGCCTATACTGTAGGACAAAACACTAACTGACGCGTTACACTTCTCTTACGATACCTAAATGCATTTTTACTATTATGCTGTAGAATTTTATATTAATTAACCAATTATTGTGATTCGAACCTTTCCTTTAGCATCTTCTTTCCGCAGCCTCACTAGAATGCAAATTGGTTGCTTTACTAAGTTGAGATTTTGAATGTTTTTAGAGCTTCTGGCAGCCTCGCGGTACTATTGTCAGCTCTGGTCAAAGTTATTCCGCGAGCATTTTAATACGCGCCGTTAATTATCATAATCCAACTTAAGCAGTCTAGTTTGTATGAAGTTTCAGACTATGGTACCTACACTGAAATTATTTTACCTTAGCTATTAGCAAGCAACGGAAGTTCCTGTGAAGCATAAGTAGCGGCTTCTGTTACTTTAAATGTTAAATAAAAAGGGTTTGTATAATCTTCTTACGACTTTGGTCATTTTCTTTAGACTACAGCAGTGGTCTTCACACTTTGTTGGTTCACGGAACCTTTAGAATTATAAGGTGTTTTCGGAGAACCTCATCCTACTCTTAAAAAACTGTATCTTAATTTAATATTTAAAGTAGATCAATATGTTTTTATAGGTACTTTACGTAAAGTCAATTAAAAAAAATATTGCATTTTTTATTAAAAAATTTCAACATAAAATTAACGTAATTTATCCTTTAATGTCATTAACTCCTGTTCCAGGTGACATCTACGCTTGTATTATTTTAGTGACAAGAGTGTGCTTGCATTTTTGTATCCCAAACTGCTACAAAAACACAAGCCTTGCTCTATTAATGTTATTTGTACTCGCATTTTATATTCTGTGCTTAATTTGTTTCCAAGTTTTTATTGTCACATACGCTGAGAAAAATTTTTCGCTTGTTTCTCTCGTTGTCCCAAAAAGCATTAAAATGTTTATATTCGTGAGAGAAATTTCTAGGTATTCTGCATGAATCTACAACCAAAACTTTAGAAGCTGCTTTTCTTAAATTTAGACTTTAATGTTGCGTCTGTTGATATGTCGCCTACAAACGGCCGAGCGGTAAAGTCGCTGAACACTGGTAGGTTGGGAATACCGCGAACGGGATGGCTGCATGCGCATTTTCATGGTTTACCCCATGTGTAGAGTATGTACGAGTCAGGTTCCCTTAAAAAGTCCTCCGAGAAAGCATCCCCCAGGCAGATAGCCCTAGTGAGCTTTGTCATAATCTCAATTAACCAAACCAAACTGTTAATATGTCGATAAGTTGTTCCCTCATTGAAACATTTTGGTTTATCGCGATACTCGAACGAATTTTTATAAAATTATGCTTAACGTTTTTCCTTATGGGAAATATCTATACTCTTACAGTTTCCTTCAATTGAAAAAGGGCTGCATTGTATAATTTTTAACACCGTCATCTAAATTCAATTCATTTTCCATTAGAAAAATGTTTAGTTTTGGAAAGCATCGCAGTGTCCTTCACTTTGACGCATTATGACCACATATTAAGTCTTAAAAGTAATGTATAACAAAATGCTTTTTAATATTTTTTAGTTAACCTCCTTCCTTCTCACTCCCATCAAATTACCGGGTGAGGTTTCGACTTCTATTTCTCGTGCCCGTGATATTTCTGGATTAGAGTGTTGAAAAAAATACCCCCGAAAGATTAAAAACAGTTCTTTTCTTAACCCTGATTGTTGGTTTTTTCTGAAAAATTAAAATTTCTTGATTTCAAGCAAAATATAAATTCGAAAAATTAAAAATGAATAAGTATATTGTTGTATATTGTTACACACATTTTTAAACAATTTTCTTGAATAACAAAATAGGCACAGTTTTTACTGTTTTCTGGAAAATTATGGTATTGTTTAAGGGGTTAATAAACACGAGTGAACTATTATGAGTGCTTTACAATTTTCTTCTTGAATTTTTATTTTGACTTTCGAAACCTTTGGGTACTGTGGAACAAAGTTTGACCTCTGGATTAATGGAGTAATTCGTGCTTCAGTCTAGTAGAATCTGCACACGATATTGAGATAAGTTTTGGGAATAGCAGAAACCTACAGGGTTTAAATAGTTTCGATTCTGAATGTGGAAATAAGTTATTGCATTTTGGGGACTAGATTTTGATAGTAAGTAGCGATTCTCTTCATTTGTTATGCTTTTTTACTTCTTTACACGAAGCAAAGGAAATACTGTAATCACGGCAAATTCCGGATATCATATTTCAACGACAATATCTATTTTGACAGTTAGCGAATGCAATTTAACGACAGTTTTGTGTGACATCTGTATGTAAGGAACACAATAAAGAACTTTTTTCCCCCAAAAAAATTGTAAAACTAATTTAAAATGAATTCTGAAGAGAATTTTTCGTGGTGTCTATTCGTACGTATGTATCTCGCATAACTCAAAAAACAGTAGCCTCAGAAGTTTGAAGTATTGTATATAGATTTGTGCACCTCTATTTTTGTTTGCAATCGGACACATCAAATATATATATATATATTCACTCTGTTACTCGGCTCAATAAGCTCAGTTTTTTTTTTTTTTTTTTTTTTTTTTTTTTTTTTTTTTTTTTAATTCTTATATGTTGGTAAATTGAGCATTCTTTGCTAAAAAATGATTGAACTATGTTGTTCTTATCTTCTGGTTAAGGTTTTATGCTTTTAGTTAATCTGCATGTAATAGTTGTAGAATTATCAGCAATTTAAAAGTTGTTTAAGTGCGGATAAGTCTAATTTTTTTTACCATAGCAGCCTTATTTGCTTACATTTGAAACTTAGCAGAATAGTGTGTTAATTCTTTCTGCACCTTCTATGTGTTTTTCCCGAGTGGGACTAAAGGGAACTTTTAGTTTTGTGCACTGAAAAATCTGCCTTCTTGCCTGCTGGCCGAATTGCTTGTTTTTGCGTAGAAACTTTAATTTTAATTGCAAAAACTATTTTTCTAATTGTTTTAACTGTATTTTGTGTTTTATTTTTTCTATAGTTTTTAATGAAAATATTTTGAGTTTTTATGTCTTGCCGCGAAGTGAGAAGTGAATTAATTGAATGAGAAATATATCTCTAATGAAATTCGAGGAACTAAGTGTTTCATCTTAGTAGAAAATACTGTCGCCAGTCTGTTTCGGACAGAGCAGAGTGTTTAAGAGTAGCGCATGCGCATTGGATAAGCAGCGCTAAATCGTCTGTGAAAAACTGTTTATTTTTATTTGTTTAATTTCTTTTATACATCGTTTTAGATTTATTATAGTATTTAAATATAACACGCAGCAATGATTAGATAATTCTTCAGATGATAAAAGTTTTGTGCATTCTGAGTTATGAAATGTAACCCTGTTAAGTGAACCTAGCGCCAGAGTGTCGCTATGGTAAATTAATATAGTGAATTTTAAACAGTGCATTTATTCTATTGTGTTTTATGCGCTATTGACGAAGTAGGTTTAATTCAATTCAAAAGGTTTAAATGAAATGCAGGGGAAAATGCGTAGAATTTAATATCCGTACAAGGAAGTCATGTGGTTTACAGATCAGCATTTTTTATTTTAAATTGGATGCGGTCGGTATGGTATAACAGACTTCATACATTTCAAGACCGGGTGAGCGGGTAAAAGTTTTATTCTTATTTTGTTTTTGGTGACGAATGTTGGCCACGAGAAATAAGAAAGTATTATGACGAGCAATTTATTTAAAGCCAAAAAATGTCTTTATTGTATATTCAATATTAGGTGCGTCAAAATGGCAAATTGAAATACCTTCATCCATGCTTTGTTACAAAAACTGGATTAGGGCTCTAATGTTTACGGCAGCAGACAGCTGTAGGCTATTTTTTGGAAGGTGTATCAACAACAAACAGGCCGTCACCTATCATTTACCTAGTTACTGAAATTTGTTAGAAAAATTAGACCTTGATTCTTTGTAAACACATTGTGCTTAAGCATGTATTGAATCAGCAACTTTAAATAAGAGCCATATTTTCAGTATTTATATTCAAGTGTGTTCTAAAATTTTGATTTATTTGCGTTTTCTGTTGTTACTAAAGGATATGACTAGAAATTTGTTGATGTAGGTGTTTCCTTAATGATGAAATTAATTGATTTAAGAGTAAAATCATTTTATATTTTACAGAAATACGATGTTGAAACTTGCTGTTATTATCATACTTGCTAATTTTGTACATGGATCTCCACGCTCTGGAAATAATTCGACATTTTCAGGTAAGTAACACTGGATATATGATCATTTATTTGATAAGTATATTTTTATTACTTGAGATTGTGTTAAACATGTTCTTTAACGAGCCAGATTGAATTATGATTAACCTCTAACTGCTTATATGGAAAACTAAATATAAAGTCTTATGGAGAGAAACAGCAACAATGCAAGTATTGCTATAAATTAGAAAATTAAGTGTAAATCAAACTGATATTTTAAAATCTGGGAAATACTTCTGATTACAAATAACTTTCGATTCTTCTTTCGATCCATGGTGACCTTTCGATTTCTCTTAAATACATTGAAAACTAACATTTATTTTAATTTAGGCATTCTTTAATGCAGGGTGATAAGACAATACAGACGAAGAAAAAAAAACGAAAACGTTTCGACACAGTCTTTTTATAATATAAACGTTCATTTTTCTTGCTTTGCACGTGACGCTGTCATTTCGTCTGTTACTTATTTAAAATTTTCACATTGTTCTCTGTCTTAAAATTAGAAATTAAAGTTAATGACCTAAAAGTGCAATAGTATATTCCAATACAAGTGAAAAAATGGACAGTTTCACTCACGCGTGTGTCGGATTTGCGCAATACTTATGGGGGTCCCACAAAATTTTTGTAAATATTATGGGATCCCGGGGGTGCGAAAAAATGTCAGTGATGAAAAGGGGTGGTGACTGAAAAAAATTTAAGAAACCCTGATTAATGAATATTATAATTTAGAGTATTGTATGCTTTGTAATGAATGCTTGTTGTACATTCCAACATAGCTAATGTACTCTTCTGTTATCGGGACAGGATTCAGAAATGTATACATGTATGTGTGTATGGATGTTTGTACATGCTCTTGTATGCATATATATGTGTACTTGTGTATGTATCTCTGTGTATAAACATCCACATATACTCACATACATACATACACACGTGCATATACACCTACATTTCTGAATCTGGTACCGGTATGAGAAGAGTACGATCATAATGGATTATTTTACTAAATGTATTAGGAAAAACTATTTTCACTTTATATAAGTTGTTGAAAAAAGTTGCTTCTGGTTTCATTTTCTTCCATAGTTATATTAAGCTGATAAATATGTAACATAAAAATATGTTCTGCCCAACCGGTATAGTGGTTAGCGTCGCTTACGGCCGTGCCGTTATTTCTGCTAGAGAAATCGTCGTAGAAAATTCGTTCTTGTCTCAGAGGACGTTTGTAATAGCAGAGAATGCCAGGCCGTGGTCATTGGTGGCATTTCCAGCAGACAGACGATTTTACAAGGGGCATGGTGATCGGAGTGAGAAGGGCAGGCTGGTCCATACGGCAAATCTCAGCTGACACACCTGAACACGTCCACAATGCTCCGGCTGTGGTGACGATGGCTGAAACAAGGAAATACAGCATGTTCAAGATACCCTGGATATTCCCATATCAACCAGAACCATTTTCCGTCGATTGGCGGCTAGTGGTCTACACTGGTGGCTACACTTGAAGAGGTAAAATTTAAAACTAGGCGAACCAGCAATTTTAATTTAGCTTATGTCTTTAATAAATGTCTGTAGATTTCGAGTGCGATCAGACTTAGGTCCCTATTCTTAAGAAGCAAAAACAATATCTACAGCAGGCATACACATGTTGTTGCAAAATAAGTTGGAGATACTGAAACTACAATAATCAGCATAAATTGCGTAAATCCTCAAGGACTAATTTAGAAGGTTTCAACAGAACAATCCTCCTCCAGCTGCAGGAATGAAATTGGCGAAGAGAAGCCAGTGCTCATGCATGATCGACTATGAAATAACTTCCTTAAAAGCTGAAAGTTAAGGCGAATTACAATTGGGATCATTAAACAGAATTGACAGATGTTTATGACTGTAAAGCGCCCGTATAAAATCTTATTTGCCAATGGAAGATATTTTTCATATAATTTCTGCCGCAGAAAAAAGGAAGATGTAATTTTTTACCAGCCATGTTGGGCAATAGAGGATTTCTGTGCTTCTTTTGCCTACATTCAGGAAAAAGAAACACATAAATCCTCTATTACTCAACACTACTGGTCAAAAATCACACAGTCCATTTTTCTGCGTCCAAAATTGTTTAAAAAATGTCTTTCATTGTTGATTTAGATTTTCAAGAGACGTTTCATGTTCAGAAAAGTACTCAGTTCTAGTTAATAATCCCAATTCTAATATGCCATTATCTTCCAACTTTTAACAACTTTTGTCGATAGATGGCACTAGTAGCTTTGTTTTCCTAGTATCCTGTTAACGCGTGAGCACAGGCTTCTTCGTCCCTTTCACTCCTGCAACAGAAGAGAAAGGTTCTTTTGAAAGAAGAGAAAGAACCTTTGAAAGTAGTGCCGTAAATTTATGTAACTTAAGCTGATTCTTGTTCCTTCAATATTTCGAACATTTATTCTTCGGTGTATTTTTTTAGTTAATATTATTACAAAATATTTTTGCCTTTTAAGAAGGGGAAATCTGTGTCTGCTCGTTTTCGATCAATTGAGTTTTATTCAAAATCTACGTCACTAGTCAGTCTGAGGAATTTTTGCCACTCTGTAAAGACTTAGGCAAAATAAATAAATAAATAAAATAGCAATTGCTTGTTACTTTTGTAAAAATCCATGAATGATGTTGCGGGTGTACTCAAGAAGAAACAACTCTGGAGATGCTACAGAACATGATAGCACGTCAAGTCCACGCAGGCTATTCATAGCAGAGGGAGGAAAATGCGGGAGCTTATCGTTTTGAAAACGATCCGAGATATGTAGTAGGAAAGACTATAATATTGGTTTCAGCTTAAAACCAACATACCACTGAATTGTAAGTGCACTTAAAAGGACGACTAAAAAAATGATTGCTTTTAGTTTTAGGGTTTGTATACATAAAAAGTAGACTGAAACCTCCCTAATATAATCACTTGCTTTTCCATTTTGATCTCCTGTGGAAATGATCGCCTTGCAGAGGTGATGTTCAATACCTCTAGTGTTAGTTGTTGTCATGAGAAACATTGGTTACATTCATCGTCATCAGTAATTTCTTTGCAATTCACGAACTAGACTTTATTAATATAGGAAATATTTTTAGGAATATGCATTATTATTCACTGTTTAATTCTAAAGAATGTTATGTGTTCTATATATATTTGGAAAAATATAAACATATTTTTGACTCTGTAGTCTTTATTTAAATAGATTCATAATAACAAAAACAGAAATCAAATTCCCTTTCTTTATAACAGATCTAGCTTTCAAATAAAAGACTATCCATTTATATGGCATTTTCAAATATTCGTATGGACCACAGTCCCGTTAAATCCCTACACTGTACTCTAGTTCTACTGTAGGTAAGAAAAATCTTGAACTAGTCTCATAAATGTCCCTTAAATGAATTGAAAATAGGGTCAGTATTTCCATTTAAAAAGCATTTAATTATAATCATAATGGTAATGCCATATGAACTGACTTCTATGTAATGCTTAATCTGTTTGGTTTATTGTGCTTGCGCTCTTCTTTACAGGTGGAAAATTTTCATGTGGTCCCTCTGAGACTGAATGCGCACTTGGTTGCTGTCCAATCCAAGATGCTGTGTGCTGCTCAGATGGTTACGAATGCTGCCCTCCTGGTTTAGTCTGTGTTCCCTATGTCGGTTTATGTATCAAGCTTGACTCGTCCATCGGAAAAATAGAGCTTAAATCTGAAGCAACAACGGCTGTGCAACGAAAGGTATTTGACTGTCCACCAGGTACCACCACATGTCCAACAGGATGCTGTGCTTTACCTAATGGTGTCTGTTGCTCTGATAAGCTTCACTGTTGTCCAAATGGTTATAAATGCACGCCTGTATCTTGTGTTAAGAGTTCAGACGACAGTTATTTACTGAGAAAAATTGCGTTTATTGGTAAAAAGGCTTTCGTTTCACCACAAAAGACTGTTATGAAAGTATGCCCTGGGGGAAACCATCGCTGTCCTAAGGAAACAAATTGCTGTATAAATGATGATGGTTCAGGGGGATGTTGTGATAAGCCTAATCTTAGAAAAGGTAACTTAAATATTTTATACTCCAAAGACAAAGAAAAATAAACAAGTAATCAGAAAATAAATGAAAGTCGATATCAAATAGTATTTCTCATTTCCACTGCAAATTCAAATCGTCTATAACCGTGGAAGTTACAACGTAAAGAGCATGTGAATGTTATTTTGTCAATAAAAATTTTTAAATCAAATGTTTAAACCAGCATTCTGATTCAACTGAGAGAATGTTTAGGACTTTTTTGAGCAGGAATCTTAGACAATCCACCATACCTTCCTTGAGAATCAAGCCCGATATCTTTCGGTTGCTAGCTGGGTGTACCGCACAAAATGCGGAAAGACACAGATCAGAAGTAACTTTACGTCTTACATTTCTGCTTTTATAAGTTATTTTATAAGAAATAATATTATAATTATTTTATAAGAAAACTGAGTCTGAGCTGCTGAATTTTATATGTTAAAACATTAAGCATTTATCTTTTCAACATTTGTCATTTACATTAACAATAAAAGCACCAATTTTGAAAACCTTTTTTGTATAAATCTTAATTTGGGAAAATAACATTTGTTAAAAATTTTAATGTATAAAGTTTGACAATCATTAAATAATTAAATACTTGTTACAAAATGCAGTACGATTATTTTCTTGAATTTTGTTCAATAATATTGAAGTTCGTTGCATTTTTCAAACAAATATGTATCTTTTATGAATATATTATGTAAACAGTTTCTTCATAAAAAGCAAAAGCCCTAGCGTCTAGATGACGCTAGGGAAAAATAACCTTTCCTGAATCGAGCTTCTCTTTCTTCTACCATGGCGAAGCTCCTGGCTTAAATAGTTTCGCTGGAACCGATGCTCCGACTATGTACGCCGAACATTGTGCAGTATAAGCGAAAATATTTCCCATATAGCTTTGCCTTGTCTAAATTTTGTTCCCAAAGACTTGTTTTTGGATAATCAATCACTCAAGTACAGCAAAAGCGAAGATTCTTGGAAATATTTCTTTCGATACGTAATCAGTCACAGATAGACTTTATTTGCTTTATTTTCCCAGTTCGGTCCTTTAACAACATTTGTACGGTCAGACGACAATGACGGAATGCAAATATTCAAAGTTCACATATCTATGCCAAAGACAACTTTCCTCTTATTGTCTATGACTAAGACTCTGCCATCTTTGAAAAGACGAGCCCATTCATACGCACGTGCCTGTGATAATCAAACACACACGTGGCCTGTGATAACCAATGTTCACCGAACACATCACACAGTTCTTGAAAAATTTGATATGGTTTTCCTCCTAATTTAATGAAAAATGTTTGCTCAAATTTATATCACCCATGTTTATGGGAAACGTTCCAGAGCTGCTAGATTTTAAATCACTAACTCACCTCCGACTTCTAAACCTTCATCACGTAATTTGGTAGGTATATATCGCGATATGTTGCATTGCTGTCTTTATAGATTCAGGCAATGTTGCCAATTCTAAAGCTTTAATAAATTACCGTTATTTAATTGCTGCACTTCGTACATCGCTTAATGTCAGCATCAAATTTCCTATGAATATTCTTCGATACACTCTAAAAATGCTGAGTATTAGATTATTGTCACTCCCATTTATTTCTTCAAATCTAAATTTGGAGGTCTGTCTAAGAACTGCGCAAGCAGATGAAATAGTATTTAAATAATAACATGATTAATTATCAGAATGTTACCTATTCACTAAAATTATTCTCTGATTTATTTATTTAAAATATTACAAAGATATTTCGCAGCAGTTAGAAGGCAGAAAGAGCTCTAAAACCTTATTAAAATGATCGATGAAGCGTAATGGCAGAAGTCATGGAGATTTTATTATTATACTTGCTGTCTTTGTTTTATTTATACCCTATTTTGATTTTATTATTATACTCGCTATCTTTGTTTTATAAAAATATTTTTCAAGGTACCTCTTGGGGAAAATTGGCGATTTTTTGGCGCTATTCCTGTTTATGTCCAACGCCTTCCCCAGTCCAAAATGACGTCCAAAACATAATTAAAAGAAAAAATATAATTTCAGTAAACCGCATTTTAAATCGAGCAAGGAAATAAAATAATGGAAATACATGTTATCTAATCTACGCATTGTACAAAAAGGAAATATCGAATTAACCTTATTTAAAAATTTCTGTTTCTTCGGTATATGTGACACTCAAAATTCCTTAGCAGCATCCAAAAGCTATTTAAAATTATCTAAACTAGAATCTGTATACTGCCATCACCACAGAAATTCACAAAAGTAAAAATCAAAAATATCCTCCGTACTACCAGACTGTCGGTGGCATTTCTTTCGAAAATCCCTTTTTATTACACCCCCCATATAAGTTCCATAGTGTTCATATGAGCTCCGGTTTCCAAATCCTTAAATCTCACTGCGTAATTACTTAGAAGTGAACGAAGACATTTTAATCTTCATTTACACACCAGTTAATTAATGTTTTCTTTCCCTTGCATTCCAAAGCGTACAGAAACTACATGTTCATTTTACCACCAGCAGGCATTTAGCCGGTGTAAAGCAGCGTACTTCCTAACCAACAGCCAACGCATAAATAAGCCCTTATAAATATTTTCCCGACAGTCAAAATCACCGCAATCACGCATTGCAACCAATCACGTCATCATAGGGTTTCCATTAGCATTCAACAAAAAATACTCAAGTTACCATAAATGTTTTACTCTTAAAGTAATTTTTTTAAATTTTATCTATTTGTGTAATCAGCAAACTGACCAGGACCTTAAAGGCAGGTTCTTGTTTATAGAGGCATGTATATCACTTATCAATCAATTTGATACATTATTGCTTTTGTTATTGTATTTTTAAATAATTTGAGATATTTTATTTTCTTATTTTATTGAAAATCTATTATTTATCTCTATTATTTATCGTTGGTATGTTAAACATTCTAAACTTATTATTGCCAGGATTTAATTTCTAAAATTAGAAAGGCTGGAACTGTGTAGAATGCCGCTAAAAACGGGAACGAAAATAAATATTTTACGTAATAGATAAAACAATAAATAATGAATAATTAAATAAAATATAAAAAGATAAAATAACGTCTAAATAATTACACAAATGAAAGATAATTATTAATTTCATAATAACAAGACATGAAAGAGAGAATAAAAGGTAGTTTTGTTTCTCTCTTATTTTCCCCAAATGACTGGACAGTTATTTCTCTCTGATTTCTCTTGAATATCCGAGCAGATCACTCTGCGCAACATTTTTAACACTAAGTGTACTTTTTTGGCTTCTAATATATTTAAAGACCAAATGAGTATAGTCCATGAATATCCTTCTTCCTCATAGGTTCCTGATTTTGACAAGAGAAAATTTTCTCCTCATCAGCTGACGTTTTCCCACATAATTTGCTCTTTCCAGCGAAATTGAGTCTTTCATTTGTATGTCTGGTAACAATATCAGTTTTATTAACTGCTAAATAACATGGCATCAGTATTTTTGGTTAACAGTATTTTCTTCTAATATGCAAATTTGTTGCTGTCTAGATCTATCTAGTTCAGGGAAGGGCAAACGTTTTTGGTGGCGGGCCAAAATTTAAAAAAAAAAAAAAAAAACTTGGCGGGCCAAGAAAAGTTTTTCTAAAATTTTAAAAACAATATACAAGTATTACAATTTAAATACATTAATGACATGAACGAAATTGCAATTTCATTTTTAAAAGTTCCTAAGTGAGATACTAAGGAACGAGGCTAAATGCTCATCTGTCAGTCTACTTCTGAAATAATTCTTTCTAAGGTTCACTTTCTAAGGTTGAAAACACTTTAGTACTGGTTTTCTGAGAGTAAGATATTAAATTTGGGAAACTTACTTTCGATAATGATTTGTAAAACCCTAACTTTGGCATATTTAAAAACAACTGTTTCAGATGATTGTTAGATTGCAACTCAATTATTTCAAGCTGCAAATCTGGCCTCACTGCTTCACAATTTATGTTGAAAGGCATGGTAAAAATATCCACTTCTGTTTGAATGGCACTGAAATCTTGAAATCTCCGTTCGATCTCAAAATGCAGTTTTTTCAAGCCATCTTCATAATTAAGGATCTTTTCCTTTATTTTTCTTTTCCTTTATTAAGCTACTGAATTTAACATCGGGAAATGAGATAAATCGTTTTTAGCTCAGCAAACAGATTAAGTTTTAGTTTAAAAGCTTTGAGATGGGCCCAGATATCGTCGATAAATTGATTTTTCCCTTGCATCTTGACATCCAAGTTGCTCATATGACAAAGAAGATCTGTGAAAAATTCAAAGTCCGAAAGCCATTCTGTGTCTTCTAACATTTCGCACTCCGCAGAACACCGTTTCTCATGGAAGAAAGACACAGTGTCGTCTTTCAGCTGCCTATCTGGCTTGAATACACATCCTGCGCTAAGCCACCTTACTTTCGTGTAATACAGTACATCAGAGTATTCAGTTTGCACGGATTAAAGAAAATCTCGAAACTGCCTGTGAGTAAGCCCACGAGATCGAATAGTATTTATAAGCTTCACGACTGAATCAAGCATGAGTTTCATATTCAATGCAGATTTACACAGACTAGCTTGATGTAAAATACAATGTAGAAAAACAACATTGTTCCCAGAATAGTTTTCATTAAAGCTTCCAAAAATTCCAGATTTTTTTCTGTCATATTTGGTGCTCCATTAGTCGTAATATTGCATATATTTGTTATAGGCACTTTCCAAGCCCTTTCTGAAATTCACGAGAAACATCACATACCGTTCTAATTCCTTTTAAAGAACTCATGCACGCCACTTCCTCGGTAATCTCATCAACACCTCTTATAAATAGTAATGCTAATTGAGCAGCATCATTTATATCAGTGCTTTTATCCATAGCTATGGAGCAAAAGTTAAACTGGCCATTCTTTGACTCTAATTGTTATGCCATATTTTTATCGATATCTACGATTCTAGAAATCACCGTTTTTCTAGATAAGCTTACAGTCTCAAAATTATTTTTCTTGTCTGAACATAAAACATCACAAACTTGAAGCACGTATTGTTTAACGAAATTCCCATCACTCAGAGCTTTATTATTTTTAGCGATATTGTGTGTTACAATGTAACTTGCATTTGTAGCTGCTTCTGGGATACTGTTTACCTTATTTAAAAATTTTTGTCGGTCTTGTAATTTTTTACAAAGACTTTCTGCATTTTGTTTTCTTTCATATTCGACACTGCATCGTAATGGGAATTCTTATGATTAGATGTGAAATGACGGGAAATGCTATATTCATTGAAGACTATTACAGATTCACTGCAGCTGAGACACAATGGTTTATATTTTACAACTGTAAAACATATTTCCAGGTCCATTTATCATTAAACGCTCAGCACTCTTAATCCACTTTACGTTTTTTAGTAATCATTTTGGGGTTGAAATATTTTACGAATAACCCAAACAAGCACTAGCTACGCTATACTTTTAATAGTTTCACATATATAATTTTTATAATATTCACAATGATGCTATATGTCCGCAATTTTTCCATACGCAATCAATGATATTAGAAAAGGAGAAGTCTCTGGTTGGAGCTTAAAAATGCGCAGTGTGCCATATG